GCAGACACAGTGCATAATGGCTAATTTTCTTTTATGTTCCAAAGACAAGTCTGCTATTTACACCGTAAAACACGTGTGGTATTGTGCTAGAAAAGACTGACTTCCTTCTACTACAATGGATAGCAAATGAACACAAGCCCGCTACGACAAACAACTCCAATTAAAACTTGTCCAAATTCTGACTGAGCATCCTGTAAAAGAAATAGATTATTTATGCGCACTCAGTGATCTCCATACATACAGAAATACTTCTAAGACAACAGTACAGAAATATTCAATTAAGGAAAAAACGAACTTATTTGCAATTAACAGCGCCTTTAATAAAGATAAACCTAGTTTGGAATCAGCGGACACTCTAAGAGGATAGACCCGCTTTCTAAATTCAAGCGGCATCAAACGTAGAAGGGCACCGTTACAGATCAAATGACTGAAAGACATCTTGTCGTTCAATCTAGCATATTACGCACGTGATTTCAGCATTTCTAAAATACGTGTGAATGACAGGAAAGACCATATCTATCCACTGTCAACAACTTACGTATCTTCATATTCCGGCTGTGGCCCAAGAAGGCACAGTGTGACGCAGTGTTTTACATTATCGCCCTGTATAATCTACAGGGTGAAGATTGTATGTCATCTAAATTCGCTGCGTAGGATAGCATTAACTTGAAAATGCATTAATCTATATAAAAATAAGAAGTGGTAATTCGTTATCACAATGTTTGACGAACTGCCGTTGAATTGGGTTGGAACTAAGATACGGCAAAAACCTACGGAAAGCTAAAATACCAGCGATGCGACATCCAATAAAATGGGCATCAATCTAATATCTCTATTTCTCATGGTCCTCGAAGCTAGCTAACTAAATAATTCTACGATATTAAGTACAGTTTCGATCCGGCCTATTCCCGTGTGTTTACTCAACGGCAGGCTTTAGACAGGCTCGGCATAACGACGGCGTACATATCAGACAATACTGCATCGATAGATTTCAGGGAACCATGTAGGCAAGAGAAAAAAAAAACAGCTATTTAACCGGTAGTAAATGGAAACAATTAGGTGCTACTGCCTTGTTTGTCGTATCCTTTTGCAGGGGCTAGAGAAAGAAAAGCTGAAAAGGCCATTTACAATACAGCCTCTCGCCGTTGCCTTAGGCAGGTGAGTTATAAAGCATTCTATAGATTCTTCGATAATCTAAACAGGTCCACTTGTCCATTTTACTACTGGCTGATGGCCACGCTCATTATAGCCCCATGATACAGCTATGTAAGACTCATGTTCTTAGGAGCAAATACTTCTTAGGAGACGGCTCTGTTCATGTGTGGTCGAAAGGCGCATACATACATAACACCATATATCTACTCAAATGACACGATGTCTAGATCGAAACCGCCCTTAACTAGGATCAGCCTTGTTGTATCGCAATAGCCTTATTACTCACTCTATCAGTTCAATGCTGTTTAAGAATGTAACGACAGCCAGCACTGCGTCAGACATGAAATGTAAACTAATTCTACAGGAAGTATACATGTGTTACTAATTACTATCGTTGTTGTTGTTATAATAATAATCATTCATAGTTACGTATTGATGATAGTACGCAGAACTCGAAATAGACTAACTAAATAACTATTTAGTTTGGTTATGAAGCATTCGTAGACAATCGTGTTTATCTTCCTACCGGACCTCCTTGTGCTCGACGGAGGCTTCTGGCCTAAGCTTTCCTACATTCTGTCTAGGTGTTCTGGGCGAGCCACATCACGTCTGTGCGACATTACATAAGATGTTTGATACGAGCAAAGACCTGCATGAATCAGACTATACGTGCATCCACTCACCTAGAAGAATGACGGCGATACTGTGGAACGGTGCTAAACGACGCATTGTGATCTCCTGCCTGATCCCTTAGAAGATTTACTTGAGAGGACACTCTAGTTATTCGGTGCGCTACTGCTGACCGCGCCTGCGAACCCCCGCAGCTGAACGCAACACGCTTAACTTGGCTCACGTTCGCCTCTTGAAGCACTCTTACATACGCATACACAGTCACAGCTTCACACAAGGCTTCGTTAAACGACCAATTCACTCGTCGTTACGAATCGCTACTTGCTTACCAGTAGCAGCACCAGCACTAAACTCCGCTGTCTACCACAGCAGTCACTGTTATGCAGGCAGCAATTCGGTGTAGCGATGGGTACACTCGCTAAACGGCCGGCCTGCCGCCCGCCTGCCCGCCTTTTGACGGAACGGCGTTGAACAGCTGCTGTCGATGAACGCGAGATGTCGCTGCTGCTGCTGCTGCTGTTGTTGTTGCTTTTGCTATAGAGCTGTCACCGAAATGGCACACACCCCACTTGCAATGCTGGCAGCGTTCGTCAGAGCCTTAACGACCGTCTTTCAAAAGACGAGTGCCACCAGCATCAACTGCTGCTGCAGTTGTTAGCGAGTCAGCCGTAACAGCGCAGAACAGCACCTAGTGATAGTCGTCAAGTGGCGCTGCAATCTCCGGGCACCCAAGATACTCTCGCAACTCAGCGGCTGCGGCAACAACAGCACGACCGGGCGAATGCAGCCACCAACAGCACCGAATTAACAGCAGCAGCAATACCAGCCGCAGCAAGTTACCAACAGACGGCCCTTGGCGCTGTGTCTTTCATATTCAACCAACAAAGCACGCTTACCCAGCAGCCGCTACCACCAAAGCAGTTCTTGGCGCACAGCCTCCGTTCGTCGTCTTCTTTCGGCACTTAGGGCAATAATGGCTACACACAGGTAGCGCTAGCAGATATTTTAAGGTGACGCCGAGTCTAATCTCGTGCAACCCATTGAGCTAGCAGTAGCTGTTGCCCACTGAACGCTAATGCTGGCGGTGGTGCTAGCGGCAATGGCTGTACCACCTTGCGCAGCTGCGCAGAACAGTAGCCCACTGCTGCTGCTGCTGCTGCTGTTGCTACACCCGGCTAAGCGATAGCGGAAAAGAACAGAGGGCCAGGCTAGGAGCAGGCTGCTGCGAGAGGCGTGCGTTTGCACCAGACGAAAGAGAGAGAATTCAGAGGGCGAGGGGGTTATAGCTCGCGATTTAGGCGCGCGAAACTCTTGAATCCCGTACGCGCGGAGGACATGCTCGTAAGAAAAACGTCAACATATATTATCAGCAATCTCATACACAGACGACATGATTAATGCGCGTACATATAAAGGCGCTTTTATTTTTAGACTCTAAAATTTTTAAAACAAACAAAAAACACCGTAAGTATGAACTTACGGAAGTTAAATTGGATTAGCTTACACCCGTGGAAGACGATTCGATCTCGTGCCGTGTTGAACCTACGTATTTATTTGTATTTAATGAATAGGTTTTGTAGCAGATTCTGTTTCCAAGCGATCAGGCCCGATCATTGCGTTCGCTAGAGTGATCATGTACTTTTTGCGATGATACAATGGTAACAGGTTTGCTTGCCAAGCTTGAAAACGCATAGTGACTTGGGTTCGAATCCAGTTCTTTTGAGCGCTTAGCCATGATTACTTGAAAGCTTCCGCTTGCTTTATGATATAGGGCGACAGATTTTTGCTGTAAACTAGTAGTTTAATGTCTGGCAGAATTAAATAGCTAATGCATACCGAAGTCTTCTCCAATTGATCTCATAACGCATTCACTTTAAAACACTTGGAGTTTTAAAATATCGTATTGCCGCTACGCACTGCTCTAGACGGCTGGTCCTTTAACAAAAAACAAAATCCGTTTACGCACGGCTTCTGACTTAGACCACTTATTATCACTTTTACGTTTAATTCGCAAATAGTTTATTACCCTACGCTCACGGCACACTACGCGTATATCAACCTGACTGCTAGTGTGCTACCAATAGTGGTAACAAAATTAATTTTAAAAGTAAATAAACATTTTGAGTTACAAGCACAATAATAAGCATAATGTCCAACAAAAAACAAAACACAACACAGTTTTTCAAGTCAAACGAGCGGAAGTCGTCGCGTTCACAAATTTAGTATATATTCATTCATTCATTCGCATTCAACGTCTGTGACAGACACTACAAAGTGATTTAGAATAGGGTTCCCGCATAGTCGGCTTAGTTGTTTACTTATAATATGTTACTAATGAATAAACATAAAATTAACTAATATGACACAAAGTTTACTTTATTACTTAGGGAACCTTCGAGCCTGCAAATCATTTGGGACCTCGGAGCGTCAAGCTGCATATGGCTCCTATGGGAATATCAAACGGGCATCGTAATACGATGTGAAGCAAGGTTGTAAAACTAGCGATCGCTTAAGCTACTGAAGACAGGGATCGCGTTGCCGCTTACTTTGCTCCATGATATTGTGGTTAGGAGCAATCTAATAGTAGATTTGTTCCACTGGAAGTAGAATTCAATTTGTAAATACTAGTGCTTTGGTTCGGGATTTCTCTAGCTTGGCAAGCCAAAATCTTGCGCAGTTAGCGGTAACGGGTTGGGCAAGCTGATGACAACGGGATTCAATGGTAAAACGTCTACGATCAAAAGCGAAAAAATGCTATGCACTAAATATAAGTCTTCAAACAATTAAGGTTTAAACAATAGAAACGGTTGGAGTAAGCATACTTGATAAACTGTGACAATCTCAAGAATGAAACAAGTTAATAATATATTTGAACTACGATCACGTTCAGAATAGACTGTGCTCAGAATGGGTCCTAAAGTATGCTAATTTACCCTACCTGTTTGTCCTAGAAATTTATGAAGATTTTGACAAAAAAAACCGATAGCTGTGCGACGAGCTATAAAAAGAAATACAAAAAGAGTAGACAGGGAATGCTAAGTAAATGTAGTAAATATCGGAAACGTTCTATGTCAATTCAAGCTTCCGCCACTCAGCATAACTCACGCATGTACTCTGTAATGATCTTGCCGAGGCGTGGAGAGTACACTAGGTTACATAGTCTAGTCTCATTACCGTGGTATCATACTCTTAAATCATTTGTTCTGAATACTTACTTTGTGCCCGCATCGATATAATCTGCTCGGTGTGTATACCACACATGAGGTGTGAACCGCGACAAGTATACTCATTGGTGTCGGTGGGATCTACGTTCTGCGCAAAGGAAAATAGAAATTGCCAAGTTTATTTAAGTCTTTCTGATTAATGACCGATTTTTTTAACTAAGCGCGAAAGCCTTTCGATTTTGCAAACGTAGCGGAGTGAGTATTGAATCCTAGTTTGATAATGGATTTATGATTACTTGTGGCGCTGAAGGTAGAACTTCCACAATAGAAGCGCAATGACAACCAAAATAATGTGCTAGTGATGCAATTTAGCAAGAATATTGTTAAATACTACCTTTGCTAATAACAAAAAGCTATAAAGCTCTTATTGTTCTCCGATATATTAAACTGAGGACCAAAACGAGGCGAACCGAAATTATGGCCAAATGTTTCAAACTTTGAGAGGCGTGGAAAGCACTTAGTTCAAACCAACTCAACCAAAGTTAAGGTAATATCAAATATTTTTTAGTTATAATATGTCGTCCTAAATTTCTTTCCGTCATCATAACCTATTGACATTGTTTGCTCGGTAAATAAATTCTCAATACAAGAGCCTGTCTTTGAATGAAAAGCTTCTAATTTCTTCTCGTGTGTGTGTATGCGTAAACTGTTCAAACGATGCGCTGTCCTTACTTGTACGATAAGACGCGAATTAGCTACCCCTGTCTTCGGGTTTGTAGATATATGCACGCGGTGTTGTGCACGCTTCTTCAATTCGGCGTGGTCAAAACCTGAATTGTGCGCCATAGAGCACAGGTAGTGCGGATAAATTTGTATAAGAAAGCAATTTAGGTAGTAGTAGTAATAATAACGATAACAAAAATCTTATGTGTGAAATACAATATATCAATGAAGGTTTGTAGGCCAATGAAAGAATCTGCCTTTTGGTCATCCACTGTAAATCTCAAGAAAAACAGGCTACCGTTACCCAGATGTCGAAGACAGGCTTTAAACCAACCGTTGTCCTAGTGCACACTTGAACAGTGTCGACATACTCAGCTGTTAGACATTTATATTCCTTTCTTTAAATAGCAAATAAACATTCAACATGCAGAAATGGGACTTAGGTAACTCACCGATGAACCATTCAATATGAGGTTGAGGGTCTGCAATGAAATCACAATCAAGCGCCACTGACGCACCAATTCGACCCACTGTGTTCCAATGAGAACTCTGTTTTGATGTAATAGGCGCTGTAGATTAAAGAAAATGTACACAACAGAAAGAGGTCACGTGTCACGTCTGCCTGGTATTCTAGATCGTTCATTTGTCATTCGCGAGGGCCGAAAAATTCCAAGCAAGTACAATAATATCCTTGTACTATCTAGTAGCACGTGTTTCCTATTATACATGATCAAATTTAAATAACCTTTGTATTCAATCTAACATTTTCCCGTAAAACTGCTTCAACACGAAGTTGATTTACTTTCTTTTATACGATTCATGAACGTGTGGCCCTCCGCGCCAATCGCGTCTCAATAGGATTTTATCATACCCAAACATCACGCTGGAATGTTTTGCAATTTTTTTTTTTAAATGTATACCATTATTGCTTTATTATTGACTTCTGCTATGACTAGCGATGACAGCACATTTGAGAAACGTCAAGGGATAAATCTATACGTACTAACGAGATGAAAGACCGTTTCGATCGAAGGATCCCGTACGCTGCGGCATGTGTATCGCCCCGCATCTGATAGTTGCACTCCATGAAATAACAACTGAGCATTTCGCATTTCCACGTGACCTTTCGGAAGATACCGCGTGTTCTCTTTACCGTAGAACCTGAATATAAGAAGATATTGGAAAGTCTCGATTCTTTAAGAAGCATCGTTGATTACAATACATCTATAGAGTATCCAATTCGATAATACTAATGGTCATTCTCTCGCTACGCGCCCAGAGTGCAATAGCATGATAGAACTCCAGCGAAAAAACATTTTATTGCATTATTTTCGTCGTCTTATTCAAGTAAATTAGGCATTCTGCTGTAAATGAATACTTCAACAATGAAAAATATGTATATAGGATTAAAAGACAGGCCGCAGTTTTACTACACGGTGAGAAGAAAGTGTGATATAAACAAAATGGGAAAATATTATAAACAATCATAGTGTCTACTGGGAATTAAGCGGGACATTCTGTGGTAACAATCTTGGAAGGTATAACTTTCTTTATTACATAGTAAACTAAACACGGTAGTTTTGAAAGGCTTCCACAGCCTTCTTTTTGTCAGGGTTGAAGTAGTCTAAATTTCTAGTCCACTTTTAGCTCAAAGAGATTCCCTTGTACCTGGTTATTTGTCAAGCGGAATCGTGGACGGCATTATACAATGGCATGAAAATTATCCACGTAAGAATAAGTTATCGTCCGTTGCAGTGTTTCAGGTAATGCTTATCTTTAAGGAGAATATATGAGCGCTACGAGGCGTATTACGAGTATTATGTAGTAAACAGTGGCCTAAGTATATATGTGTTCTATTTATGTTAGTTTGAATTGTTTTATGAGCTCTGCAATATATACAGTTAAGGAATACGAAGGTCCTACCAGAAGAAAGGGGCCCTTGACTCCGGCTCACAGCTGAGAGCTAGAGATCTGCCAGGCTGAATCAGGAAGCATTTCTGGGTGTCGTTTAGACGTTCTGAAAGACAACACAATATGATTATATATGGAATACAACCTGAATACCAGGATAATTAATATAATCCATTTCTATGGAAAAATTCTGTGAAATAGTGCAGTTCTAGAGTGTTGTAGCCCTAGTGCGGCGAATGAAGCGTACGCTCGAGTGTGTCGAAATTTCGAAGTTACAAAGAGGATACTAGCAACAATAAACCACAATGGTAGCGAATTAGATTCATCAGATATCCCGTAATTGTTCCTTTCTTTTTTGCGTGATGATATATTGTAATCCCCCTGGCTGTTTCTGACGCTAACGAATAGTATACGATTGTTTGCATGCGTGAAGTATCTTGAAGCCGCTATGAGGGCTTATCCATAAAAAAATCTATCATATGCCGTAGTAACAAAATATGGCCATTTGTTTTTGCGTCTTGCATGATTTACGGAATACTTACGTGGCAAAAATAGATGTTAAGGACTTACATTTACCTTGACAACCAGATGAGAACTAAAAATCTCGAACGGAATCTTTAAAGAGACATCCTTCACTAAGCAGAGCATATGCACACATCTCCATAGGCCGTACAAAATTTGAACCTTCCTTTAAAAAATAGGCGCATCGGTGAGAGATTACATCACAGTATGACTTGTTCTTGACTAGACTACTTCAGATACCAGGTGATTTGTCTAATAATCGAGTCGCTTACAATAGAGCTGCAGAAGAAGCCTTCAGACTTATATAGGAAAAAGCCTAATTGATACCTTAGGGGTCTGGCCTTTCCAGTACTGTAGCTCGCTCACTGATTTTCGCCCTTGTGGCATTACTACGTAAATAGAAATTACAAAATATCTAATAGATAATGTACTCTGCAAAAATCTCGATCATACAGATTAGATGTTTGTTAACGCAGTTTACGTAATGTAAATGCATATTATTTACCAGAAACAAATAACAAACTTCGTCGTAACTTTGGATCGGTTGTCGACGCCTTTTATCATACTCGTAAACAATAATAAAAACATCGAGCTCGAAATAAATATGATTCTACATATTTATGGTGAAATCACGTAGCTTACATTTATTCAGATAAGCTCATTATTTCAATACGAACGCAGTATGTTAGGAAGAAATCTGCATTATGCCAGTTTATTCGTGTGTTAGGGTGCTACAAGTGTGTCCAATGTTATTAAAAGTGAACGGAAAGTATTAGAAGAGGAAAATTGCACGGATAAGAGGTATTCAACTGTGAGGTGACTCAGATGTAAGCCTTCAGCAAACGCACAGTTCAACAGGAAACAGATATATGACCGCCAATGCTGCTTACTTTTCAAAGTAGCACACACGCTTTAGCTAGAAAAAAAATTGATCCTATACGGAACACAACACAACCCTGGTCCTACAAAAGAGAGTTTACGAAACACGAAAAGTTCTAAAATATCTTACTCTAGTACAAAGTGTTTTAGAGTAACTCAGCCAGACAGAAGTTAGAAGTGCTCAACGAAACACCGAGAGTGGAGTCAGAATGAAATTCTGTACCTGTATCAACAACATAGATATAGTGTTTATCCACGTCGAAGGGATCACAGCTGTATGCGCCGGAATGTTGAGGTCCGGCAGATAAGACATGGAGTTTTGCCTCCTGGCGACCGCGCTCCTTTAACAATAGTCGGATTGTAGTCATAAGTATATATATAAGTGAAGAGTACACCATACGGTCTTAGTAGCTAACTCGACAGCTTATAGATCGAATAAGAAAAAATCTATATAAGACGTTCTAAGTGTGAATGCAAGATAGGTTAGAATTCATTGCCGATTAGCGAACATCAGTTGGCAACACAAATGGAACTCGGGAAGAGCTTTCTATTTAGTTCTATTAGCTGTGGTAGGTGCAACGATCGGTGCTAACCACACGAAGCCAGTGTGACTCCTGACGATACTGCACGTGAATCAATCATAAGCGGTGGTCGGAGACAGGTTTCTATGGAAGCTTTGGCACACCTTTGGTCTGATGACTTGTAGCGCAAAATTTCCCTCCATGCTGTGCCCGTTCAAGGTCCATTTAGGAAATCGAAACGCATCAGTTGTGCACGTTATAGAGAAGTCTTCCCCAGCACGTACATACACCGGACCCTGGTAGGTAGTGTAGCCCCCTGAATCCAATTCGCCAGCCATGCAAAATAAAACAGAAGTCAGATTATTGCGCCAAGGCAAAATTGAGCATATATTGGTCATGCTGGCCAATTATTCATAGTAATGTCAATTCAGAAAAAAAGTTGGAAATTATGGCAGAATCTAGAAACCCAGACTGTTTTTTCATTCTTGTTTCTCTTCGCTCGTGTTTCAGGACTGGAAGGTGTTGGACAAAAGTGGTTGGAGCCTGTTTTCAGGCTGAGCTACGGTCGAGTGGTTTGAAACTTAATGAGTTGGGTTGTTGTCAAATGAAGGTGCGAGTTCCTGTTCGAAATATTGTTCATGCAGTATTGCCATAATCGATGAAATTATTTATAAGGCAAAACCAGAAATACAAATCCATTGATGAGATGTGGAAAGAAGGTCTTGGAAACAGGAAGCTGATTTCCCCTCTAACAAGGGACTCTTACGTCATGCGCATTTATCGACCCTCATTTATCCTCAGAAGTGTTATTAGTACATAATAACATTTGGTAGATTATATATTCCATTAGTACAGGGCACGCTTTGGTCGCCTGTGTCGATATAGACGCAAATCGGTGAGGCCGATACTTCAAAAAAAGCATGCGTACCTTCGCATATAGACAAGTGAAATTTCTTATCTATATACCTTAACAATATACTATAGTGCGTAAAAGCAACATCTCGAAATCAACAATTAACCTAATGACAATTCATCAAATTCATGCCTGTGTGTGTTTTGATCTTTCCGAGCTGCTGCTCAGGGGATCATGGACTGTCAATGATTTTGGCCTAATGTAAACAGGTTTGATGATGCTAAACCACAACAGGTTAACAATTCCATTATAACTTAACTATTTATTTTTTAAGAGGCAAAATTAATGCATTAGCGCACTTAGCTGGGAATCATGTTAGACCCAAACCCGACGGATGGACTTGGTTCCGCCAAGACTGGTAGCTTAACTATTACGTACAACCAGCTTAACCTAGTTTACATATCGGTACATTACGATATATTTAAATGTAGTCATAGTTTTTTCTTTTTTCATATTTGTTATTGCTGTATGGCTGTACAGATTTAAAAGAACTATATCGTATTCTGTTGACCTATACACCAAGCAACGAAGTAACGAGCGATTTAAATTCACATGTAAAATGACTGTCGAAATCGTGGTCAAGTGATGTTCTTTTGTTCAATTTCGACCTTTCATACATACCGTAGGCGGTGGCTGCACTAACGAGAACTACTAAAATACAGAGAACGTTAAGAGAGTCCATGATTGATTCGAATATATTCCTCATAAGCGGCACACACAGAATTCGGATAGAGCACTTTGGTGTTCCTTCTGCTCGCTAACGTCTACGAAACGCAAGACGTCAATCTGTTGTTTATGCGCAACCAGCCTTCACCTACAATACTTAAAGCACACTCACTATAATCCCAATCTTAAGCGGCGTAAAGATAGCACACCATCCAACGGTGCATCTAAACCTAGAGGAAGAAAGTGGCTGTAGATCAGCCACTGCTTTCTTTAAGATGGTTCAGCTACAAAACAGGCCCAACCAACAATAGGCTGTCGTCAATTTATTTAAGAAGGAGGTCCCGATGGCAAGTAAGCTTGATAGCTAGATGTGCGAGAGGCCAGCCTTGCCCGAAACCGCAAATCTCCTCAGTCAACTCAGGCATTCGTCGACTGTGGTCTGCCTATACTTTCTCGGCCTGCCACCCAGATAATGACTGGCGAAGCGACATGCGCCCGCTATACCGTGCCAGGGATGACGCGGTTCTTTCTATATTGGTGTTCTCTCGGGTTGTATGCAAGTGTCCGAGTCTTTGTCTAGCCGTATTGGCTGTGCGTGTTCATTCGCTAGCCAAAACATTGAAAGAGACAATTCCGAAATCCTGAAACTCTCTTTTTGTAGCCGTTGCTGGTGTAACAATGTTCGATAACTTGAGATCCCGTGCTACACTGTGTGCCAACTGCTTTAAGTAAGAAAGCCGATAGCGCGATCCATTCATGATGACATGGGCTAGCATAAACGAACAGAAGCTAAAAAAATTACGTTTATGTCAAGTATAGTCAAACAATGTAGCAAGGTTAATACTTGAACCGGCGACCGCAAGAACTGTTTTTATGAACACTATATTATTATTACATAATAGATACAATATGTGCACCTCGACGGGGGCGAGCAAGAGTGGCTGTAAAAACTTGAACACCCATAAAAAAAAAGGACACGAAACTTAGAGATTCGACTTAGTCAGTTGTTAAATAAGATGGCTTTGGCAGTTTCCGAGATTTTCTTTGTCTAAAGTTGATTTAAAGATAAAAGAAAGATTCCACTTATTTCGAAAAGCATAAGCTGTACACTTTGAAAAACTATTAGCAAGTAGATTAGACGTTCACATATTGTCAATTTGTTGTGTAAAGCTCATCGGTATCTGATTGACATTTCAAAGCATCGGACGTCTGCATCGAGTCACACTATTTGTCTCTATTTCTTTGTATTTCTCAAAAACGTTTCTGTTTTAGGTCTTCCTGGTCGATACCATCGTATTTCGATCCAACTTCAACATAACATAAAACAGTAAGCTATCTTACTACTGCTCGCTGTCTAACGATAACTACGAACCGATTGTTAGATTACTATGCATGTATACACATGTTTTTGGCAACTTGAACGGCTTTTGATGTACGAACAGGTCACTGCAGATCAGTAGCGTAGTTTTCACAGTGTTGTTATGCTGAATCGACCATTAACATTAACTGGAAAAGAAGTACTACTTTTGATATACCATCTAATTAATCATGCTTTAATTAACGCATTCATTAAATTAAGAAACAAAGCAATTGTTATGACCGCATCAATCGTAGCGTTCATAATAATGAATGCTTTCTGAAGGAATTACTTTAGATCGTTTAACTTACGTCAACTCCCGTGTCTGAAACGAAGTCAATGCTATCGACATCGATTAGGATGCTATCTAATTGAAAGCTTAACCGACCCAGTTATGTAAACGAACTTATAGGGATAATTCAATGTTCCATTCTCCACATCATAAGTCCGGAGACCTCCTGCAAAAAACCATCAACGAGAACGAATTCTGTCGGCACGTAAATGGCGGTTATTATGATACTCATGCACAGATTCTTTGATCATTCACATAATTTTATGAGAGGTCAGGCTCTTGGGAACATAGTGGCGTCGTTAAACGGAAGAACGGTCGGTCGCTAAAACATCTACCTACCATTCCAGTTGCCGAAACTAGATATAACAGTAAGAACCTATGTATACATAAAGAGAGCTTTCATCATCAGCAGAAAACTTTGCACCTATTTGCACCAACATTGCACCGAGTACTAAGGCGGAATTGATAAGAGCATATATTTCCTGACTGTGGGTCCTTGGATAGGACTAGCGACATGAGATACATTCATTTATTGGGTTAGTGCTAGTTGTTCTTAGTGGAACAATTAATTGATTGAGTTTAAAATGATTTCAGGTAATTTGAAAGCTTTACCTATACAAAGGCCAAACAGTGAATTAAGAAGCTGAGAGTGGCATTTACAAGACGAACGTACTTGGACAAGTTATAAAATTTTTACAATGAACACATCGACGATTCTCCTACTAATAGCAGTGTACAAGAATCTGCTCATTGTATTTGATTTTTTATTACTGAGCTCGGTACCGGATATTTCAAATCGACAGCAGCACCCTCATACGACGATTCCTTTGAAAGCAAAGTCACCGTAGGAGTTGGCCAATGAAACGAATATCATTACTGCTGAGCGCAAATTCTCGAAATTCTCTCTACGAAAGCCTCTGAGAGGTTTTTGAATCTATAATACCATCGAGGCTAGTTTGCCCCGTGCTAAATCTATTTATTTTTAGCCAAAATATAGGTTCACTATTTCAGTCTTTCATAAACGAAGAAGTCAGTCTATTAATCTGCATTATATAGCCATATACTGTTAATTTTATAAATTCCTTTTACATTATATGGAACTTTAATAGAAATTCACAAACTCCCTCAAATCGAGTAGAAACTATCATTAAACCAAACGAGTGATATGATCAATTTGGCGATTTATGTAAATGTGTGTTGTATGGGTTGGAACATTATTGTTTGACGCCAGAAACTATAATATTTCGATATCGACTGGGTGCCAGCGCGTACATGGACTATGTATGTCTAGCATTTGCTTTATTGATAACTGTGTTACTGGATTTGTAAAAAAAAAACCGTTAAGTAAACAATGGACAACACATCCAACGCAGACACATCCTTGTTGTGTACTATTTGTCACTTATTAAGTCCGCGTTACATTTTTTGCTAAGGGACCAAAACACTGCTTATCAATAAAGTAAGCAACGCTATGAAAATCTGTATTTCAGATCGCAGCCGGGCTGCAGCGGTACGTGTTCGAGCTGCGGTCGTCTCATGCTGATTCAATTCATGGAACTCGCAAACGAAAATTTCCAGTTGAGTATGCTGCCTACAAATTCTAACAGTTAATATGCCCGAGTATATATACAGACCAAAAATTTATCTGAAGTCATGCTTGACAATGTCGTTATAGACAATTACAGGCTTCTTAATTATCTGCTAGAGCACGCATCCTTTCGCTATAGACCAGGTTATTTCTGAGTAGCACTCCCCTGTAACAACGGCACAAAGGATATTTCCAGTGCTCACATGTGGCTTCAGTTTATTGCACAGAACTACCCCAGTACCGTCCGATACCAGCCGATATCTGATAAATTACTACGAAAGTACAGTTACACGATTAAAACTCCACAAAAACGATGGCATTATAGAATAAATTTTGGAGAGACATAGTGGCCGACTAAAGTTGACAATAAATACGCATAGTTTTTTTTCTGTGCTGCCTAAGTAACTAACGAACTAAATCATAAGTTAACAGCCTTCAAAAATAATCCCGTTTTTGATAATTATAGCCGTTTACCGCCTGGCTCGTTCCTATCATTTCATCGTGAATATATTTTATCTATAATAAATTAGAAACAAGTCCCGCAGATAAATAGAAAATGATTGCCGTATTTTAACTATAATGCCAGCCCCGTCCTCCCCCTATAACGACTCCGCCATTTCCTTGCACTTTTCTATAACAGGTCGATCGCATCTTTAAAAAAGCCATTTTAGTTCTAAAGGAAGAGTTCATTGTCTATCAAAAAACCGTTTACTGTTGCTTATCAGATCTTTTTCTTCTAGCTTTTATTCTCTTACCGTTAGGGAAATCACAGCGATCGTACAACGAAAAGCACTCGTAATATTCGATACTTTTTCGACAAACCAAATCGACGTTGGCTATATTAAACAAAGAACACAAATCCTAGAGAAAAAATATTATATAATTCCGTACGTGTGAATGTAGGATTTATTTATGCGTGAAGGTTTAAGGAAACGTAGCACTGAAAAGTAAAAAAAGCTCTATGAACTCTGTGCTCGGATGTAAATCGTGCACGAAATCCGTATTCTTCTTAACGACAATGTTTACAGGGACAAATTGTTGCTAGCCTCGATGGATGTGAGATGTGTACAGGTTGCAAATAACTAATCCATGATAGACTATGTAGTCTGATAGGATAACTGTATTTTTAAGCACCGCAAACCGACAATCTGCACACACAGATACGCTTAAGCCATCCTTAGTTAACGAAAAACCGTTACCTACATTAGATGTGTTTATAGCTAATTTAATTGAAATATTTAACTGATAAGAGAGATCAACACAATAAACAACTAACCAATGGCATATCAAATGAACGTAACTTTGCTATTTTACCGTATAATTTTAGTGGTCGGATGCCGATTCCGCAGCGCGCTATTTCGACATATAGGTTGTAGATCTTCAGTGCCGCTCAAAACCTACACTACTCTGAAAATAACCGAAGTCAATTTCAACTAAAATATTTTGACGGATAACTTAGGTTTTGTGTCAGAGCCTCTTTTAGTTAAAATTATCGCCCCTGCGAAGGCGTCAGTAATAAACAATTCAATACATTTTTTAGCTAGCAGCATCACTTCAACCGATTTGACCACAGTGATTACATCGAAACCAGGAAACAGATCAACCCCTCCACAGGGCCTTGCGGATAACGTTACTGCGTTCATTCTTAAACTTTACTAACTCCAGCTGATTTTTCATTGAAGTCTCCAAGCGCTCGACCAATTGCATTAACTAGTCGTTCTTTAGAAATCCAGATCTATGAGAAGGTCCATCTAGTGCAATGTCAAATTTATCGTGCCACTCCAAAGGCCAGCTTCGCATTTATCTTAGCAATGTTGTTCAAAGCCTGCCAGTTTATACACAAATATAGTAAATTCATGTATGCGTGTATGAAAGTGTATCTCAGAGTAGGCCACGCTTAAGTAGACACCCTGAACGGACAGTGCGATTTTCACAAAAGCATTAAGTCTTTAAGGATGCAATTCTCTACGTTGTTTTTCCCCATTTTTCGTTAAAGAAAATGTCATGATAATTAACAAGGTAATTCAAAAAGCAGTTCCGAGCCAGGCCTACGTAAGGCTAACAAAAAGGCACGTAAACATTTGTATAATAATGGCTTGTTGATACATTTGAGCCTTCAGTGGGATCCCATCGTTTCCCTCGCTCTCGGACTCCAGCATTTCTCAAGTACGTTATTACTAGTCAATGAAGGTTTATAGCTAGACTTGTACGAAAAAACTGTCGTGAATGTAAGTGTTGAACGTGTTCAGGTTTTCCTCTTTGAGTCATCTTCTTTGAAATGGCTCTATTGTACAGCAGAGAGTTCTGGCCCACAAAGCTCATCGTTATAGTGTTCTAAAATCACGAAGTTACAAAAGAGTAGCGTAACTTAGGGATTTAATAAGACGGTCAATGACTTCGATAAGACTCAATGACACTTATCGAAAAGTCTACAAAGAAAATTTCACTGAAGGAATACATTTAAAGAATGGTCAATATTCAAGGCCGTAATAATGCGAGTCCATTTTAGGCTTCATCAGGCATGTTTGAAGTTTTTGAAAAAAGGAATTATTTGATTCATTTTCTGAGAATTATTGATACATTAATGAATACTAAGTGTTTTCTACTATGTGTTTAAGCGTCCAAGTACCGGACGTTTCTTCTTATTTTTGGGACAAATAAGTATACTGTTAGACCAGATGTTGTTTCAGTAGTAAATGAATGCGATCAAATGCGAAACTGCTTTTAATTGGGCATTTACGTTTCTTCCCTCGGCAAATATGATCTAAGTATTAGTCGGGACAATGCTTGCAATCAAGCATTTACTTATTTACTCCGATTTAAGCCGTAACTTACAACATACGATAATCGTTTCCTTGACTCTCACGGATTTAAGTTAGTTTTTCAATTGGAACATCCGACATTACCTAAAATAATAACTCCGCAGAATTAAGTCACTAAGGAAGATTTTATTGATGTTCTAATTAATAAAACTGCCAGCAGTAACACTAGCATTGCAATCGTTGTCCCTGATAGGTACGGCGAATATTCCTACCGTATTGCGATGATTTTCCATCCTGTAACAGCCTTCAAGCACACATCACCGTTATATGAGTGGATGATGTAATCTTTTCTGGACTTTGTGCAAGCGGATAACCTTGTGCAAACCTAAAAAATGTCTGACATCGAAAGCAAACAGCAGGCGACTGAACAGCTGTTCGAAACCACTGGCCGATAATGGGAATGATCTTCCACATTTTTCTTTACGCTAGCCACGACTGTCAGATGACCACTGCATTGGACAACTCCTTCAAAATACGTGTAGTGTGCAAATATCTCCTAGCAAAGATAGATACGGACAACAGTCCCGTTGTCGATGTTTCTGCAAAAAAAAAACTGGCTTCAATCTGTTTTGCGCACACAGGGAGTACTTAAACGGCAGAATTTTGATGAGCATTGAAGAGCTGCACCATATCGGCTCGCCACCGCAGTCCTATCAAAACCAACAGGGATAGAAAATTCAGGTGAGGATTATTGGAGACTCCTGAGAACGTACCGCTTGTTGATTGAATGATCCGACCGTATCGCGCACACCCTGTGAAACACACCATTTCATTTCTAATGGCTACACCTCTGCGTTCGAAAAAGCGGCATGTATTATTAAACATTTAACTTCGTAGTTTTTTAATTTTGCATTCTCAGTGCATTGTGGTGGTAACCTTAAAACACAGTATTATCGTTGAGCACCGTTGTCTTTCGATGAAGCGCTATTTGATTGTGCTTCAAAACCTGCGAAACATAATTAATCGATGAATAAAAATAGCTCGACTGAAATAACCTGACACTTCCATATGCGGTCTTAAAGGTGCCCAGATGAAGCAGACTCGCACGTACACCCCCACACGCTGTCTGAACTTGCCGTAGAAGCAACGTTCAAACCATTGCTCCACCTAAAATGCCACACAGTAAATGCGACAACATAGTGGGTCATTGAATTCAAAATAATCGAGTACTTAATGTCACCCTGGGAAGTGACTTGAGAATGACAACGCTTTTGGTTCAATTAGTTAACTAAATGATCTAACGCCCCCAAAAAAAACCTATCTGAATACTGAGCGCTAGCGTGTATTATAGACGCAAAAGCGCTATTTTACAGTACGGCTTGTACTACACGAAATATAAGGTCGGCGGCAATCACGAATGCAATAGGACTATATACGTGTAGTGACCTCGTATGTCAATTGCAACTCAATCAGCTTTGATAAGAGTGGTTGAAATCCGTAATTTCAGTACGTTGTCAACTTGATAGTTATTTGTTGAGGACACATGTTCAACAACCACCGACCTATGACAAATGTGTACCAGACGCAAATGCCTTCTACATTATGCCTATAAGTATAGAGGCTTAAAAGTCAGACTACCTTCTAAAGGTGGACTCACGCTGTATATACTTAGTGGTTTATCCTATTCAAAAAACCTAAAAATTTCCTACAGGAGTACGATTTGGACACCATCGGCCCCCGATGACGTCGGAGTCTTCTTGTGCCAATGCGCTTTGTCTTTCAAATCCTCGATGATGGTGATGACCCTGAAGAAGCAACAATGTTTAGTTCGAGCTTGATGACGATTCCGCAACCTGAGAAATCCGACAGACCGATCCGGCGATTCGTTCGCCGCAGAAAAACTAGAAAAAATTGATACCGGAAATGCCTATGTACCAGCAAAAATGATGACGACATCTTATCTCTGGCGCTGGGATGCCTGATACGTCCTAGATGAACGAGTGTTTCGAGTCTGACCTCCTCCGCATGGCAAGTATCGCTGTCCTAAAAGCAAAGAAAGCTCAGCCATGTTGAGCATCATGTTCAACAGTAATGTTGAACGCGGTGTTAAGTAAAATCGTTCTCTGGACTCAGATGACAAAGCCTTCATTTTCCCCCCTGGCTTACTACTGTTTATGGATACACTCGATACCACGCTTCTGACTGCGGCCTTCAGTCCACTGGGAGGCTAATTGGCCGCATAGGCCAGTTTTCCCATCGGCATCAGTCAACGTAGCGCTGACCGTAGGGGCAGGGGTGCTTGAATCGTGAACCTAGAAAGAAAGATAAGGCCGGAAAAAGAAGCGACGTAATCCTCGCGTTCCCCAGCGGACCTGAAGTCGAGTCGCTTTTGTTGTTGTTGTTGTTGTTGTTGTACTTCTCGTTGCCGTTGTCCCTGTAGTCACCACCGTCGTTGTTGTTATTGCTTTCAAGTGGCCAATCTCTTGGCTAAGTCTGCACTTCGTCTGATCTCTTTTGGCTTCACCGACTGACTTGTTCCCAGCTTTTCCCTACGAAAATCTATGGGAGAACATGAGTTGGTTGAGCAATACCACCAATGTGTTGTTATCCCGCTACAGATTTCTTGGGGTACAGCAAGCGAATAAAAAAGCTGAAACGATGGAAGGCACTAATCTGTCCGCGTACTCTGTTTTATAGGATCTTAGTACTTATGTTGTACTATATGCTCAGTGTGAGTGGTTACTGTCGTGAACAGCAATCAAGTTAAGACTGAATTGGAGCTAGAATAAGCGTGACTCATTTTTCCATGTCTAACACACCCACACATATACCCACACGCGGTCGTATCCCATCGTGGTGCTTGCCACTACTACTCGCTATGTCTACAAAAAATATAGACATAGACAAAAAAAAATATCGCCCCGATTTTGCTGGCTACTCCAAGGAACCTACTTTTCGTAGTGTAAACAGTTAGTGTGTCTGTGTCTGTATTTCAACGTGGCAGCGGCAACAACAACAACAACAACAACAACAACAACAACAGCAGTAACAACAACAGCAACAACGACAGCAACAACAGCAACAACGACAACGACAAGGAGAACGATAGAGGAGAAATTCAGGATTAGCAACCAAGCAAGTTGCCGCTACCGCAGGGCCCATGTAACGGTCCATACGCGGTGTTACAACTTGTCGTCTGTCACAACAGATTCTACTCAGCCCGTGTTGTGTTGTTTGCATCTTCTCTCTGGCTGCGGTGAGTGCAGTTGTGTTAGAGCTAAGACTTGCTGTCGGTGATAGTGGCGGCGGGCGAAGAGCCTTCAGCGCCCGGGGCAACCGCCCGGAGCAACGAGGGAGAGGAGACCTAGAGAACGAGAGAGAGATAAAAGTGGCACGGTGGCTTCAACCCCCCACCAGCAGAGGGGGTGCGCACGAACCTGTTGGGTACACAGAGCGGGCCCAAAGTTACCCATGAGAAAATGTTGCATCACCGAAATCGGTCATGACCAAGGTGATATCGCCTTTCATTTAATCTATTTAAATGCGTTAGGGGTTAGCACCATTGCTTACTAAAACGTAGCCTCATATTTTAAGAACTTCCGATAAAAAGACATGAACGACTTACTAGGGTCCTAAAAAACTATTGAGGAAAAATAACGATTTTCACCACACGCACGCAAAGTACAGTGCGATGCCCATCCCGGGCTTTTTGTCTGATGGATATCTTCAAAAATGTCTAAGTTCTACCGCCGTGCGGATCATCATTGTTATAAATTATTACCGCATAAGAGAACAGGTCTCTCCTTTGATTTCCCGCAGAGGTTTCCTTTTTAACATTTTGAGTAGCGTTGTAAAGGCACGTCGCCTTAATAGCAACTGATCGGAATCGAGCGGAAAATCGCTACATATATGTATAGTAACGTGATTAAATGATAGAGGAGAGATGCATATTTTGTGGATTAGGGTATATTTATAGTATATACTTTATTCCTTACACGTTGGAGAGTTCGCGGATGGAGGCGTGCTGCCCCGCGGTCTGTCTGTCTGGCGAGTCTTGGCGTCGGCCGCCTCAATCGCTGTTGTCTCTTAATTCCCCCGCTGACGACTTTGTGTGTTATCTGTAACGGGAGCTTCTTAATCAACAGATTCATCTTCAGGATTCTAGCAGTACAAATAGGCACACCATTACGGGTCGCTACAGAATTTGATTCGAAACAGGTTTACATATTACTGTAATACGATAGTCCGTGAGCGTCATCTCGTTGATCTTCGTCAGCAGGAGCAAATCTGTCGGGTAAGTAACAACGCTCGAAGCAATGTCCCAAGGTTTGTGGAGGTTCGCGGTGGAATTGGGCTGGCATCTGTAAGCTTTTCAAGTGGCTAATATTAACGTCACTATCCCGCCGTTACCGGTATTGCTATATAGGCCCAAAAACCTATAAACACGATATATGGAGCAGCGTATGCCCTTTATACATATACCTGAACCAATTGATTGCCGACTTTACGACAAATTATATATATATATATATATATGCATATATATATAAAAAGGATCATACATATTTTCATTATGTGATGTCCAAAAAAACAAAATTAAGATGCCAGCCCACGCACATACAGGTCACACGTTTCCTTTTACCACTTCTCCACAGACCCTACCACACAAATACATCTGCGATTCACCCTGCGCCCCTCATTTCCTAATTTACACGTTGTTATTATATACTCCTGCAATAAACAATGCACTGTCACTGTCTAATACCTAATGGTACTCGAACATGTCGAAATTAACTCGTAATAACTTGGATGTCGACGACCCTCCTAACCCACCCTTCCTACGGTTCTTTTTCATAGACCTATTTCTGCCCAGTGTATACACAAGCTCATCTTCCGTTGAGCCTCGATTTTTTTCTTTCGCGGGTTCGTCCTCTCCTTTCACCATATCCTATTGGTCAAAATGGATGACGGGTGCCGCCATTTCGCCGGGCATTTGGCCGAGCTCTGACGCTACGGGCAAGCGGCGATGATGACGATGATGGCGACAAAGACTGACGATGCCTTCATCGAAAACGAAAATATTTTTTCTACAAGAGTTGAGTCGCGTTGATTGCGTCCGGAAAGAGCTGATGATAGTTGACCACTGGCACATAAGCTGCTGTAATAACTCGTCCAGCAAAATAGCGTCCATGTAGCACCCCGACGGCTGCTGCAGCTGTGGCGATCGACGGACATTTCACGTACACATTGCCTGTTGACTTATCGACTAAGCAATGAACCGCTCCGCCATGTTTTCGACACTCTTCCAGTACGTCGTCACGTAACTCAGCGGCCCAATCTTCTTCTCCGTTGTCTTTAGCTGCTTGCTCGGCGGGATCGAACATGTTGGCCAGAAGAAAACACTGGGTAGCGATCGGGTTTGCCTGTTCGGTCTGTGCCGACTGCATCACCTGTTGCGACTGTTGAGCAGTTTGCATTGGCCCGGCCAGGCCAAGTCCTGCGGCCAGACTGTGTGTGCTGTGCCCCGTCATTTGCTGAAGAGCACTTTTAGCAGCATCAGGCAGTTGAATTCCGGTACCTTCAGCCAGCTTAGCCATGAGAGCCAATCGGCCATGAGCACCCAGCTCGATGCCGGTACGATCAAGTTCCTCGTTGTCAAGAACCGACGGAAGGCTTCCGTCAAGCTGTGCTTGTTGCTGATTGTGATGATGGTGGTGATGGTGATTGAGCGACCCGGTGCCTCTTTCAGTGACGTGGTTCACCTTTATTGGACGTCCGGCGATCTCAAAGCCATTCAACTGCTCCATTGCCTTCTTGGCAGCATCGGCTTCGCGGAAGGTCAAAAAAGCGAATCCTTTTGATTTGCCAGAATCCTCCCGCATTAACTCAACACGATCCACTCGCCCGAAAGGCTCGAATATTTCCTTAAGCATGCGGTCAGTAATGTCAAAATGAAGACTGCCAACATATAGTCTCATTGGCCCTTTGCCATTGGCGGCAGCGGCGGCAGCAGCCGCCGTAAATCCACCGGGCTGATTGGCCATGCGGTTTCGTTCGGCCTGTGTCGCCTGCACGATTATTGGCACGCCAAACAGCTTTTGCCCGTTAAGACCCATAGCCAAGGGCACAGACTCGAGATCGACAAATTCGACGTAAGCAATGCCCTTCGACTTGCGAGTTTTGTTATCAACAATCATACGCACGTCGCGGACTTTGCCCACGGCACTGAAGAATTCTTCGAGATCCCTGGCTCGAATACGTTGACTTAGCTGCATACAGAAAACGGTACGCAAATCACGCTCCTCCGTGCTCATGTCTTCACCGCCACGCCGCTGGAACGGACTCAGGCCTCTGCCGCGAATCGGCGACCGCGAGATTGATCTCTTCCTGCGGCCCCCGCTGTGCGACCTTCTACGACGGCCACGGCTTTTGCTTCTCGAGGCGCTGCGCCTGCGGCGATCTCGGCTTCGTGATCGTTCGACTCGTCTACGATCCTTTGACCTACTGCGCCTTCGGGCGGCGCGCTCCTTTGAGGGAGACCTGCGTCTGCGGCGATCTTTTGAACGACTGCGCGATTTCCTTTTGCGGTCCCTTGACCTCGAGCGTTCCCTTTCCTTAACGTCTTTCGACTCCTTCGCATCTTTGCTACTGCCCTTCTTGGCGTCCTTATCGGAAGATCGCTTCTTGTTGTCCCTAGAATGAGATCTCGACCTTTTCTTAGTATCTCCACGATCCTTCGATCTGCTTCGGCGTCGCCTATATTCCTTTTCAGTGTCTCTGGTCGGTCGATCACGATCCTTCACATCGCGATCTCGGCCGTCACTACGATCCTTCGGTATCGATCTTGAACGAGACCTGCAAGAAGGATATAATGTGAATCAACATACAATGCGCGATGATTAACTATTATATTATCAAGCCTAAACTTTTCTGAAGTGACTATTAGAACGAAGATCAATAGTCAATGCTCAAATGCGGCACAATAAGAATTGCAAGTATTCTTACCTAGAACGAGAAGATTTTTGATCTTTACTGTTCTCCTTGTTCGCTGATCCTGAAGATCCCTTACCGTTGTAAGTGGTATCCTGAAATTTTAAAGGCAATATTCATACAAGTTTGTGCATGAGAAACAAGTTTAGAACGCTCGATATCAAACCAAAATTAAAAACCGAACGTCACTATTATTAGAAGAACGGAAATGCATGCCCCATCTTCGAGATCTATACGAAATACGAAAATGTCAGTCGGTAAAAACAGCATTGCAAGAATTGAAATTGTTTCCTCCCCTTGCCCTCACTTATTTTTCAAGTAAAGCTGCTATGTCCAGTTCACCATAGGGTCTGTGCAGTATTTCGGCAGGCACTCATGTCTTAACTAAGACCATTTTCTACAAGAAAAGCCCGGCAGGTACCACCGGCTTAAACACATGTTGAGATAGAATATTCTTCCACAGTGTCGAATTAGCCACCTGCATCAAATTTAGCAAAACATTTCTGAAAATGCTGCTTTATAGCTGCCTCTCCGTTAAACGGAATCAGGCGCTGTTGTGTTGATTCATGATTTTTCGATTGCCTACAATTCACGCATACGAAATTCCAAACAACGAGTTAATCCTCGAGAGAGGACAGTCAACAGGAATCAGTCGAGAGAGGACAAAGTGATTAATTCCTCGCAAACAATTGGCTAGATAACGAACCCGTCATTGTTGTGTGATGTCGTCCCCGTTTTTTTTTTTCAATATTTGCTTCTGCCTATGTTGTTGTTACTGTTCTTAACAGCTGTTTGTGAGAAACAGCTGAGACATAGGGATGATCAGATTTTCTTATAATTTTTATTACTACCTGAATACGTGTCCCTGTAGCGCCGTTAGCATAACGCCATTCAGATCACTTTACACAATGTGTCGCTTACTGGTAGGCTGATCTGTATATAGCCGATAGGAGGATCAATGGTATATATATAGAGTCAATGTGTTATTATGCATTGATGGCTCTGATAGTGCACACGACACGGCAGACGCCCCACGTATTTGTAAAAATCTTTGAGCTAATAAACTTACCTCTCCACTATAACTGCTCGATCTGTTGTAAAATGCCTGTTGATCAAGCTGGACATCCATTTTTGTCTCAAAGGCTGCTAGAATTCTGAAATAATTAAGACATTTAGATGTCAGTCGTTGGTTTATAAAATCCGATGGAATGGTAGCTTTCTGTAAATATGGCTATCTATTACTAAATATTTGCTCGCAAAACTGAAAATATGCCGCAGTATTTTATTGCATGCAATAATTAACTTAAACTTCAAACATTAGGCCACACAAGTCACCGTTAACCGGCATACACTATAAATGTACGTCAAGTTTACTCAACGTACAACGCGCGGTACCTCCGAAAATATCAGCAAACAATACTATTCTATTTAGCAGACGGCCTGCAATAGTTGATGCCATCAATCAAACTCAAGTTCACACACATGTTCTCTATTTTTTCAAAAACTGACATCAAAATATTTGGCTCCATTTCGGTGTAGTAAATACTGATTTTAAGAGTTTAAAGTTAAAGAAAAGTTTAAAGCCTTAATTAAAATCTGACCATCATTTGCCAGTTTCAGGTCAAAGACACGCAATCCAAAGATTCTCCAAATCTCAATAACTCAAAACGTCACATTTTGGTCTGTGCATTTGCATTACGTTGTAATCAGCCACAAGTTAAACAAATACGACGCAATATGTTCTACAAGTATTCACCAATTTAACTTCACCGTTCAATATCAGCACTAACCCGCCGTAAACTTTGAAACAATTTCGTGCATTCAAAGCTCCTAATGAAAGGTTTACACTTAGGTTGTGGAGCTGTTCGCAATTACAACACTCCAACAACGTGAAGTTTTTTTAGCAACAGGCACTGACTTTCTATGATTCAATGAGCACATCCAAGCAGGAGAAGCAGGCTTAGGTGGCGTCCCAACGATGGAGAGGACGGTATTATTTCGAACAAATTCAACAATCGAAATTAACTCTCGGATCTTTCTCTCTCGCCCAACTGAAATTTGCTGAAAGTTCCTTTACCGCTTGGGGTCACGGACACTTTAGAAACCAGCAATTATCACAACAGCACATTCAAAGGGATGATGGTTACCAAAAACTCTGTAGATTCTACTTCTCTATAGTTTCTCTGGCCTACTGATTTGCGTAAAAAAATTATCACACGGAGCTATAGTTCATATGAGAAGAAAGTAGAGGAGCATACCGAAGAGATCGTTTTTTTTTTTTTAGAATTTCAGGCAAGCAGTCCGATATTTGCAATATATGGTAGTAGTGACGTTCAAACAATAGACATCAAGACGGCGACTATTGCCACCTAGAGAAATATAGACTTCACTAACTTGGATAGACTAAAATAGTACTCGGAGCTTTCTTGCAATTCTTCGCTTGGCCGACATAAGCAATACACGGGATCTTACAGTAACTTAATTAGCAGACGCTGGTATTTGTATAAACAACAGCGAACTAAAGCGAGCTGAACATACAAAATCTCACCTTCTGAAATGCCCTGTGATATATATTCCTTTATAAAAACCTCCAGAAATCTCGGAATATTTCTTCGTCAATCAAACAGTGCTTCAGGCTATTGGACATTTAATCAAGCCAGAATATTGACCTGTTATCTAAATTATAGTCACGTTGCTCACAGCTACTTGACCGTTGCTCGCACCCAACCACCACATGAATCTTGTACTTTGACCACTGTATGTAATTTTCAGTGATATCATTCAGCCATTATCTTACCGTAATCATCTCATTGTAGGACACACGCAATTTCATTATCGTTAAGTCGTAGCGTAGACGTCTTATTGAGTTGCTAGCTGCGAAGAGTTTCTATCGATCTCTTCTAGAACGCAATTCAAGCACACACACACATAGGGTTAAACGGCCACCAAAATACCGAGCGAAGAACGTCGCACATATTCCTAGACACGTAAAGAACTATTCGCTGCGTCTTCGGTACTTTGCAGATGTTCCGTTCTGGATAAAAGCAACACTGCCTAGTAGAATATTTTACAGTATCCTGCTGCCCTTTTCGCCCATTGACATTACTCGAAATTTGAGGACGTCAAATGGTCCCTCAAATAATAATAGTCCTTATAAAACGAATAGATGATGACTTAAAACACTTATGTATATTGAAATGGACCTTGAATTAAACGATCGCCTCGATACAGTTAAAACAAATAGCAAAAATATTACTGTTCAAAAGCAAAACGTATCTTCGACTACTACAAGTGATGGATACTAAGAATTTCTAGTTACTCAGTTTTTCGAGTAGAATTAAAACAACAGTACCACCACATGCTCTAGATCACGCCATCGATCACGTACTTCAAAAAAAATGTAAGTAATGTTATGATAAATACCTTACAGCTAAGAGGGCGTGTGCCCGATGCACTGAATCATTGACAAAATAATCCGTCTCATAAAACCTTATACGCAGTTTATATCAATTAGCGCAAAATGCACGAAACATCAATTTCCATGACTGATACTAAGAAATTAGTACATACTGTACGTTTTTTGTTCTTCTGTATATAGCGGTAGGTGTGCATCTGAACGTGAACCAATTAGTACTGGCCGTTTAGTCCAGCCGCTGGCTACACTAATAATGAAGACAAAGTTTTCCGTACCTTCCAGCTCAACAATATAGCAGCTTAGTTAAGGACCGACGCTGTGCTACGGGCCAGTCTCCGGGCAGCACGTTTCCGTTTACAAATGAGAAGATTTAGTCGCAAACCGAAAAACGAAGCCGAATTCACACGATTTGGCCACTCGTTTTACTTGATAAAAGAGACTGGTCATTGACTTGTTGTCGTTAAGGCCTATAGTATGGAGGCTCTAGAACATTCGCAAATGGTGGAGTGCGTGTCCCGACGTGGTGGGAGCCAATTGGCCAACCGATGATACACTAACACTACTATGCATCTATCAAAACGAATTTTGCACCTCGGCACCGTTCACGAACGTCGCTGAAAAAAACACGTTCGACGATGCAACACACAGCAAACGAAAACATACCAAAAAAAATCTACGGAAATTTGATGAATTCGCACTGGCCAGTGGCTGGAAGCGGGGGGTAATCTTGGGGGATGAGGTGTCTGGAGCAAACGGGGGAGTGAAAAGCCCAACCCCAAAAGGTTCAGCAGGGACTCACCGTGAGATGGCTGTCGGAGCTCCAGCTTGCTCGAAAATCGCACAAACTGCCCACAAAGGCGCAGCCGATTAATCTTGTCTTAGGCCTAGCGGAACCCAGCTGACCGCAGCGCCCCCTACAAATAGACGCATCGACCCGCTTAATCGCAAATTACAACTTTAACCCGTTGTAGCCGCCATGCTGCAGCCAAGCAGCAGCAATGAAAGCAATCCAGGCCAAATCAAAGCGGACAGGCAACCCCAGAACAGAAACGGCTAGAGTTAGGTAAAGTTGGCGTTACGGTTCTCGTAGTGGTCTAGTCACGTTCGGGAGCGACTGGGTCCGGACAGAATCTACGTCCAGTTCACCGCCACTGCTACTGCTGCTGCCGTTTCATGCTACGAAAGGAGACCCATAATCATACATACACAGTACATGGGGCTACGACGCACAGACAACAATAGCAACAGAGGCCAGCAGCATCCAAGCAGTGAAGTGGACCATCTAAATGATGATATAAGTCCTTAAAAGAGAATTAAGGGAGCAGCTTTTTAGCGAAGAAGATTATAACAATATATTAGCGGTAGGAAAGTGCGATTTGGAGAAGAAAAAACGCCATGTAGATTTCAAGTTTTGTAATGTTCTACTCGCGAAGGACTAATTTTGTTAAAGAAATACACGAGATAACAACAAGTCTTTTGTGGTATGTGTATTTAATTTCACTATATAGCGTGCGTTGGAATCATGATAGTAAGACGTGTTACAAAACTGGATAGTAGCGCTAGATTTATAGGGGTTGCTTCTGTCAAGGTAGTCGTGCTCTTTTTTGTAAAAATGTTGAAAACCAATGCTAATGTACTCGGCAAGTATATTATATTTTGGCGGAATATTTTCCAGGTTGAGTTAAGAGCCGGAACAGTCGAACGAATTAGTCGAACGAGTGCATATTGGTACTATAAAGCATAAAGTCATAATATTATTTCTATCACACATTATGAATAATGTTTTTAAACCCGTTGACTACTACATTCACAACGACTTTGTGAACGCGTGTGTGTGCGCGTATACGTGTGTAACGACTATAAATATATATATATATGAGGAGTATACGTGCATTGCTTTAACCCGTGCACATCGGCGTTCCGTAGCCAACCTGTCCTTTCCCCGTTTCTTAATGATTCTTCCTTTTTCTCAAGGAAGATGCGATGCTCCTTTGGAGATTGTTGGTTGTTGAATGGATCAGGGTGGTGACCGGGTGCCCTCTGGTGCTACTCCCGCTACAACTGCTGGTGCCGCTGTCGCCTCGTCAGGCAGTGAGGCTGAGACTAGGAGGTGAGAGCTGCTGAAAGAGGAGGTCACGACCCTTCTTTTGGTACCCAGTCTACCAGCGTCATAACCGTCACTCCCCGCGTTGCCATTGCCACTGTGAGCCCGTTAGCAGCCCTTGTACCCCCACGGCTCACTCGAGGTTGTTCTCGCGGTCGGCCATTCAACTTGGAGTGGCACAAGGACCTATCTTATCCACCCGAACGCTGACGATGGCAGCAGCAATAGTGCAGCGAATTTCGTTGACTCGATGCCGATGTCGTCTGCGCTGACTGTTTACCACCGCCGCCGCCGTTCGTTCATTCAGCTGAGCCCTCGACTGCGTATATCTGTCAGCTTGGCCAGACCGAACGCTCGCTTCTCTATCCATCCTTTCGTTTGTCCTATCTGTACACGAGTCTGCCTGCCAGCCACCCTGTCTGTGTATGTGAGCAAACTGAGTGTGTGTCTGCGCATGTCTGTCTGTGCGGACGTCTGTTGCAGATATCTGCGTGTGGACGCATCGCGTGTCTGCTGGGTGTGTACCATCGAACTACGTGCTCCTGGTCTTCCCCACTTTTGCTGGTGTGGTTCTCCGAGACGCGGTGGCAGGCGAGCGCCCGCTTGCTCGCTCGTGCTGTTGTATCGTGTGGGATGGCGCCACTAGCACAATTCGGCTGTTCGCACTCTGTCGTAACAGCAGCAGCATCAACCGTCATCATCGCCATCAATGCAACTGCGGCTGCACCCCCATAAGTATGGTGGACCTCTGCCACTTCTACTACCATCGTCGCAACGACGAAAAGAAGGAGCAGCAGCGGCTTCGGGACTTTATGTTGTTGTTGATGATACCGCCGTCGTTGCGGCCGCGGTCGTTGCTGCTGCCACTGCTGCCGCCACCACTCTGAACAGCAGCAGGCGTCACTTTCGCTATAGACGACTACGGTGGCGGTGGCAGCAGCGGCGGCGGCGGCGGCGGCGGCGGCGGCTGCGGCAGCAGTGGCGGGAATGAACAGAGGAGAAGAGGAGCATTGGCCTGGTCGCTCATTGCGCTCTTCACTCAGTCTCGTTCCCGCTGACTCGTTCGCGGTTCTCCTCAATGTGTATATATTACCCCCACGGCCGCTGCCGCCGCCATCGGGTAGCATGAGGGCGCTCATGTGTGTTAGGCTGTCTGCATGTCTGTTCCTGTGTGTGACTGTCCTGGCCCTCTCTTGTCGCGCTTCTCTTCCTGCTCCATCCTCTCTCTCCCTCGATGCCTGCCTGCCTATCTGTCTGTCGGTCGGTCCGTTTGTCCGCCGGTCTTGGCTGGCTCCTTCAGCTCTGGCCTGCGACCACCGTTGTCTTGTTTCGCCTTGCCTCCTGCCTGCTTCTGCCGCGGCGGCGGCGGCGGTGGCGGCGGCGGCGGCGGCGCGATGTGCGCGTGTGCTGCTGGTCTGTAGGCTTTTTTGATGTGTCGATTTTTGAGATGGCTGTGTCTTTGTCTCTGTGAGTGAGTTCGAATGCGTGTGTATGCGTAGTCAGCGCTGTGTGTTTCTCTCCGCACCCCCGTCAACTCAGTCTGCCCGCCCGGATGGCGGCTGATTCTTTGTGGAGAACAGACGGGGGAAAGGGGGAGCTGGCCGTCACTGCTAAACGGTAACCAGCGCTAGCCAGCCATAGGCAGCAGTGGGGTTGTGGGCTCTCTATTCCGGAGGCGATGCTGTCGTCTCGCCGCAGCACCAGTGGCGACGTGTCCAGTAGCGGTAGTAGTAGTTGTAGCAATGCTATGAGAAGTGCTGTGCGCGTGTGTAGTACGTTGGCTGGCTGTGTCCCGTTTGTACGAGACTGGGTGCCGGTCTGCGCGTATGTGTTGTCGCGTCGCTCGTTCGCGGTAGGAGACTGCTGGGCCCCGCTTAAACGCATTGTTAATTAACGGCAGCAGCCGGAGAAGCTGCCGGGTTGGTTGCTTGGTGGCGCCGCTGTGCTTGCGGCGCTTGTGAGCGCCGAACGGCGCCGAACAGCGGCCAGCGGCTAGAGAGCTGCCTGCTTGGCTGGTTAGTTCGTAGGTTGGTTCGTTTGTTCGTTGGTGACGTGCGGTGTGTTATGAGCGCTAGAATGCGATCGCTCTGAACCAGCAGCCAGGCAAGCAGCCACCCTGAGAGAGAAAGCGAGCAACAGCAGCACGAGCTAGCCGCCGCTATAGAAGCGGCAGCAGCGGTCGTCGTCGTTGCCGCCGCCGCCGTCGGCGACTACTACTACTACTACTACTACTACTACTACTACTACTACTACTAGTACGACGACGGCGGACAACGACACAACGCGACTTGACAGGCCACTGCTGGTTCAACTGGTCCAACTTGTAGGGCAGGGAGTCAGGCGCCAGCCCCGAAACCGCTACCGCGCCAGCAGCAGCGGCGGCGGACAGCAACAGCGGTACTACTCGCAGTCAACGGAAAGCAACAGACGTCGAGGACAGCAATAACTGTAGCAGTTAGAAGCGCTAACAACGACAACAACAACAACAACAATACGCGGAGCAGCAGGAGCGGCGGCTACACGAACGTGAGCTCAACGGGACGTCGGACTCATACCGAATTTTCTGCCAACAACAACCGGGCGGCGGCAGACGACCGTTGTTGTCGCTGCTGTTGTTGTTGTTGTTGTTGTTGCTGTTGTTGTTGTTGCTGTCGTCGTTCATCCAGTTATCTCCACTCGTCGTCGTCGTCGTCGTCGTTGTTGTTGTGGTCGTCGTAGTAATGGCGATGTGTTCTTCGTCCTCTTCGTTTTCTTCTTCGACTTCACCGATCAACAACGGCCATCAGCAGCAGCAGCAGCAGCAGCAAACGTGCGACAGCGGTCTGCGCTATTGACTCTGGCATCGTTATCCAGCAGCTGCAGCAAAGACAGCAGGAAACACGAGCTGGATTGGGAACTGTGAGCGCAGCACGGACGCTACGTCGCGCTTAGCCGAGTAACAGTTGCCGCTATAAGTCGTGGCAAAAGGCAGATACGGACGGAGACTGACGGGTACCGCTGGCAGGGCGAGATTTACCTTGCTGGGAAACCGGCACCCGCCTGGAATCACAACAGACCAGAGCTACGGCGGCGGCAGCAGCGGCAGCAGCAGTAGTAGTAGTAGTAATTGACGCTCAAACGAGGAGCCCTACGGACCCCCACAAACCGATATTGCCGGATAGATCATCTCCGATCGCGTTGACAACCACAGAAAAGAACGAGTCGTTCAATTTTTTATTCTTTGGATACTCTCGATGTGTACAGTTTTGGTAGCATTAGCCGATTTAAAAAACGAGGAACGGCTAAAAGACGGTGAAAGATAAAGACAGCTATCCAGCCAGCCAGCCAGCCAGCCAGCCAGCCAGCCAGCTAGCTAAACAAAAATGCCCCCGCTGATGCCAATAATAGCTCATACGGTTCATCAAACTTGTCCTGTCGAATGCAAGATTGTCTGGACGCCTACCACTTGTAATACGAAAAATCAATAGTGATAGCTAACAAGAGTTAATAATAACTGTTTTGCATAAAATGTTACGATCAAATCATCGTAATGGTAATGGTATTACATCGAATCAATGACGCTAACATCCAATTGTTGTAACAAGCACCAGCGGCAATACAAAGTAGCGCAAAGCGTTACCATTATCACTGGCATCGTCCAGACTGTGCGCATTTACTCGCGTCGTATCATTGTACTCGTCCATTTGCCGATCATAACGATTGTTAGGGTTCGATACTGCGGCTGCTAACTAATGTTTTATTAGCTGTAAGGGCTGATCTGTTTGACTGGTGGCTGGGTGTCGCCGACTGCGTCTGTACTGCTCAAGGTACCGTCGCCATCGCCATCATCGACGCTGCTGGCTGCCGTGCGTCTGCCTGGCCGAGCTGCTTCTTCGGAGGGTGTGATGGCCGCTGTTCTGCTAAATGACGGCAGGTTTCGCGTAAACTACGAACTTCGCCGAAGAGATCCACACGGTCGAAGCTAATGTAAATATTTTGTGCGACGGTTCCAAGCGTTCTTCTATCAGAGTTACTCTCGATTTGTGTGTGTGTGCGTGTCTAAGTGCAAACGTAAAGATATACGAAAAGTATACCCACATATATATATATACATATATATGTAAATATATATATGTATATGTGTACACACAAGTGCACGACCGTTACGGAATATGAATAAGGAATAACCTTGTACACAGCAGGAAAGCGAGAAGGAACTAAATAAAAAAGAATGTTTCTTTAGTGTAAGAGGCGAAATCAATCAGCGGCAGCAGACAACAACGAAGATCTGTCGAGAGGTATAGCTCCCATAGCTAGTCACCCCATTAAAGAGCAATAATGGGGGTCGGCGTCGTAACATGAATCGCCCACGAATAAATAATTCAAATAAATCAAGTAAAGAGTTATTCAGCTTCCTCCACTTAACGGCTTGTCAAAGACTTCGTAGCTTCCGTACGCACATCAGTAAAGTACAGATCATAAGCTACATGCGGGAACGCGCATTGAGCCCTACAGTTCATCTGTCAGTATAACGTCCATTTTGACAAGCCCTGCTTCTGGTTGCAGTCGACAACCCCGTTTGCTTTTGCGGCGATAGCGAAAACGATGTAACGCCTTTGACTTGTCCAGTAATCACTGCTGTCGCCAATGTACCAGAAGGAGACGCAAAGAGAAACACCAACAAATCCAAGACCTCGTTGATGACAATTTTGACCGGCAGCGTAAATTGTCAACGCACTCGTCATCAGTGTCCTTTGTTCCGTTGATCGTGTCGCGTGTCGGTCGCTCTTCGTGTTGTTCGCGGCTCTGGTGTCAACGGGGTTTCGTCTCGAGTCGGCACAATCTTCCGCTATCGCAGCAGCCGTCTGCAGGTCGCATCGCATCCCACCGTCACCACCACCGCCGCCGCCGACGTCGACCGCGCTCCGGTGCTCCTGAGGCTGTCGCCGGAGCCGCCGTGGTCGTCGTCGTCGTCGTCGCCGCCGCCGCCGCCGTCGACACTAGCACCGACTGGCACTCGCCCGGCACCGCCGCGAAAGCAGCAGCAGCAGCAGGCGCAGAGAAGGCACTCGGGTTAGGCCGCAGCTTCCCCCGACAGCCACTGAAGCAGCAGCAGCAGCAGCAGCAACAGCAGCCAGCGGCGAGCAATTACGGAAGGAGGAGAGCAGCGACAGCGGCAACATCAGCAGCAGCCGAAGCGCTCGCTCGCTCGTTCACTCACTCACTCACTCAGTGAGTCGCTAGCTCACTCGCTCCGAAAGAGCGACTGTGTTCGCTCCAACAGCCGCTACTGTGGTGGCCGTAGCCGACAGCAGCGGCGTTCGGCAGTCCGGGCTGCTGTTAGCTGCTCGTGCTGGCAGAGCGGTCCACCGTTGTTCGAGAAGTTGTTGGTGTCTGGCGTAGCCCGGTGCTGTTCGGCACTCATTGTCGTCGTCGTCGTCGTCGTCGTCGTCGTCGTCGTCGTCGTCGTCGTCGTCGTCGTCGTCGTGGCTCCGGCTCTCGGTGGCAGCACGAGCAGCGGCGACCGTGCTGCCGACTACCCAGCAGCCAGCTCATGCCGACTGATTGTGTTTGTTGGTTGTCTGCTATTGACTGGCTCCGGCTGTTAGCCTGCCTGAACCTGCCACACTGACTGACTGACTGACTGCTTACTACTTTACTACTACAACTACTTCTATCAGTAGCACGGCTTTGCTCCGCCGCCGCCGCCGCCGCCGCCGCCGCCGCCGCCGCCGCCGCCGCCGTCTCCCGTCGTAGCCCGGTCGGTCTGCCGCTCGTCGCTTTGTTCGTTTAGCTGGCTGGTTGCTTGTTATTGGCTAGTCGCTATTGCGAGTCGCCACTGATGAAGCAGCGGCTGGTGTTGGTGCACGCGGCTGCCATCTTGTCGATGAGAGCGGTTAACTGATGAGAGCCCCTTTCAGAACGTCGGAGTTGAACTTGAACGGAGATCGACAACGTTCCGGGAACGACAACAACAACGACAACAACAAGAACAACAACACAAGCAGGAAAAAGACGGCGTGTAGCAATCGCAGAAGCGACAGCAACAACAAAGTACGACAGCAACAACAACAACAACAACAACAACAACAGCAACAACAACAATAATAATAACAGCAGCAGCAGCAGCAGCAGCAACAACAATAACAACAGCAACAGCGAGCCAACAGGAGAGATTGCGGCAGCAACAACCAACTGCACTACAACAGCTAACACAAAAGTATTCAGAGAGCGGCGACCGATTGAGAGTGCGACGGTTATAAGCACAGACGAAGAACTACTTCTGCCACGAAAACGACGATAGTAACGAGAAACGACGACTCCGAGTGCCCGTGCTGAGTGGTTGGTGCCTATTGTGATCTGTCTCCCCGTGAAGTGCAAGTGGGGTTGTGGTGTGTCCTGCGAGTGTTGTCCGAAAAAAGGAGTACCAGTGACTGTTTCGACGTCGGTACCTACGAACGACAGCATCGACAGAAGCAGGCGTCGTCCCTGTGTAGCCATCGCCGTCGCGGCTGGAATATCATCATCTCGCAATCGTTCCACCTTATGCGGAGCTGGAGTGTATGTCTTCTATGATTATTATTGAAAAGTGTACGTATTGAATCGCCTAGTCCCGCTGCGATCGCATGGAATAACAAAACAGCGCTCCGCACCGGCAGCAGGACCGGTTTGTTTTACTGAAAGCAAGCATTTGCATTTGTAAACGAGTGACGGAGTGCGACTGTACAACAATGTAAAGCAGTGTCCGTCCGCTGCCTGATCTACTACTGGTTTGTACTCGCTATCGTTCCGTAGGACACTGGCCGCATTTCTGCAGGTAACGAGCACAGGACCGTTCGACGAACGGTGGCTTCACGTCACTTTTTTACGCTGAAAAGTTGCTTATTGAAATTGTATCGAGCACGGAATTGTGCCAGGATCTGTCAGTGTTCATCGGTGCAGTCACACTATCAGCATTTAGCTAATGAGTAGGAGTAAATTTCTGGCCGAAGCACGAGCTAGATCGCCCGTCTATCTGGAACGAATACGACACGTCTCTCGTGAAGTGTGACGCTGCCGCCTGTTGTAGTCTGCGTTGCCGCTCATTAGAAGAGTGTATTCTCTCGAAGACGACGACGCCGGCGGTGGCAGCAGCGGCAGCAACGAACGCGAGCCGCATCGTTCGTCTCAACAACGATAACAGCAGTGGCTCAAAAGAATCGCGCCGGTCGTCGATGGGGTTTGATTGGCGTCGTCTCTACCTCACGCCGTTCAGTGTTTACCTACTGTCGCCATTGTTTTTGTAATAGTTGTAGTAGCGGCGTCGGTGTTAATAGCAGTGCAACAACCGGGTGATGTTGCCGCAGCTGGTGAGGCTGACGGGCATAAATTAGTTGCGACGTCTGGGAACGACGTCCGTGGCGATGGTGGCGGGGGTGACGGCGCAAATAATAATAGTAAAACAATAGTCATAATAATGATAGCGGTAGTAACGTCAGCATCATAGTGGCAGTCTGTTGCCTTCGCGTACAGCGTGGCGACCGTGTCTGTGTTGTCCTGCCCCGCGCCTGCGAGTCTGTGAGTAGCAGCTCGAGTGGTCGCGTGTAACGACATCATCACCAGCATTACTAACGAATATGCTAGCAGCGGCAGTACTGGAAGTGTTAAAGCAGTAACAGTAGCAGCATCAGCGTCCGCGCTCTATCGGAGTTCGTTGAGCGGCTGTGCCGGCATCATGTCAGTTTGAAAAGCTGCGACATTGCGTCCTGAAGGAACAGGCGAATCAAGCCAAAAGAACGCACGAAACACTTAAATGGGCGGACAGCGACGCACATAGATGCCCCCCAGAGCTCTGTGCCGGTGCGTATGTCCTTCTGGCTGTATTATTACTATCATCACCACCAACACGATTATTACTGTTACTGCAACCTGCCAGCGACATCTGGAAGTTGCGTCGTATTCATTCGAAGTTCCAATCAGCGCCATCGGTTCGTGAAGATTTTATGCAGTGATCAGTTTAAACAGTAGCAGCAGCAGCAGCAGCAGCAGCAGCAGCAGCGGCAGCAGCAGCAGCAGCAGCAGCAGGTGAGGTGACAGGGGCGCTGTCGGCTAGTGAGGAAAGCTGCTAATTGTAGCGGTCGCGGTGAATGTGAATGTTGATCGTCAAGACGCCGCACATAGTGCCATAGGGATATTGGCTAGTCATCATTAAAACCAAACTCCAACAACGGTAACGCAACGTACCCTGACCGAACTGGACGAAATCTAACGATCCAGGAAGGTACGCTGATCGCTTCGTAGATTGCTAGGTTAGCGCTACACCGAACGAAGAAATTATGCTTGCTAAGATTAGTATAAGTATTATAATGACAGAGAGACCGTAAATGATCTGGGATAGGGGCAAATTCGTGTAAGGGAGAAATGCAGCTGATGACATTTGTGCGCTCGCTTCAATCGAACGTTGTTTAACGCGCAGGCAGCGAATGTTCTGCGATTGTAATACATAGTTAGTAAAAAAAAAAATAAGCATGATAAATAAATCAGTTCACGTCGCTATCTAAGACCATCCTACATTGTTTATTCCTGAGGCTTTTCTACAGATCAAAACTGTTATGGAAATAGCCATGGACGACTAATACGTGTATCTGTGTACTCAATACACTCTATATATATACATAAAGCTCTTCTCACCTACCCCGCCCCCCTCCCGGACGCTGTTATGTTGCCGTGTTATATATGGTATCCATCGCCAATAGGTGGCGTTAGGTGTATTACGCCGATGGCCTGCGCTCGGAACCTGTGCCAGCATGTATCCGAACAATAATGACCTCCCTTCTTCTTGGCGATGATCTTTCTTCGTTGCTCCCTTGCTTGGTCGTTCGTTTGCTGGCTGGCTGGCTGGCTGGCTGGCTGGCTGATCCGAGCCCTGAACACGGATTCGTTCGGCCTCCCAACACCGTGAAATATCACATACGCACGCACGCACGCACACACGCACGCACGCACGCACGCACACACACACACACACACACACACACACACAACACATGCGTGTCATGATAGTGACGAAAATTCAAAAGTGAAACACAGAAAAAGGCAAATTTAAAGTTACGAATATATGAGCTGTCCCTTTATTTGTTCAGCACTTACGATTGGGTAAATAATTCAACGTAATTTGATTTATCATTATGTCGCTCGCTTCATATTGACCATTTTGGTATCGATTTACTTAACAAATTGAGACACGTGCAGATCCTGTTTAGGACGAAAGCATTTTTTTGTTAATTTTCTAATATTATTATTTTTTTTTGCTTCTGTCAAATGAACGAGATCGCATAGCTGATTATAAATTGAATGTAGGTTTAGATGTGTTCGCGTCGCATTTTCTGCGCATGTACACGTCCAATGTACGGTATCAATATCACTTCAGCATTCATCTTAGACTATTAAATATGGCTTTTCTCTGTACGGTTCTGTATTCCGTTCAGTAACAGTATGTTCCTTCTGGCGATGATGATGATGGCGGCGGCGGCGGCGACGACGATGCTAGTGGTGATGTTATTGAGATAATGTCGGACTAAATGGGCGTCTAGGCGACGAGGACGAATGAAATTAATATTAGATAATTGTTGTATAAATGGCGGCAGCTAGAGGAGTCATTAGCCGTCGACAGCAGCAGCAGCAGCAGCAGCCTCGGAATGGCGATGTGTTGTCGCTCAGTGGCTCATGACTAGGTCCTCCCTTTCTCTTAGACACTGTTAACTGTTCAACGGCTGGTCGCGTCTTTTAACCCAAACCAAAGCCAAAATTAAAGAACCAGAAGCGCTCCGATATGCCTGATGCTTTACTGTTGGGGCTGTTGCGACAAGCGCAAAGCAGCATAGCCGAGACGGACATCGCCGCCGTTGTACTTTACGTCCACACGAATAGAATATCATCATCGTGTCCGAGAATTACGTTCCTACTCCTATTGCTGCTGGTACTGCGATGTATGTAGGTAGCATTTGGCCAGTAATAACTAACTAACAATAATATATCATCATCTATTATTACGACGGACACAGCGCTGTGGCATAAGTGCTATACTCGTCAGCAGCGCGACCAACGCATTTGTTGTTTGCTAGCGGGTGTTGCTTGTTCATTTGATGTTGGGCTTGGGTCGCGGCGGCATCTTGTCCCGTACCCACATGCAGCCCGTCCGGTGTCGTCTCGTCGTTGTCGCAGACTCAGTCGTTGACGCGCGGTAGCAACGGTCAGTAGAGGCACAATGCAAGCAGTCATTGCAGAAGTACAGAGCTGTAATAATTCAACGATATTCCTTTATATCTATATAGCAATAGATGACACGGCCAGCGGGCGGCTGAGAGCCAAAGGGTTTATCGAAGCGGAGTTTGGCGCTGTGGCCAGCATTGAGAACATTTGTAACACATGCAAACATACAAATAGATGTCGAGTCACACGGTTGCTAATTGTATGTCTGCCCGCTACAAAACAAAGCGGGAATTAACGAGAGCAAACGATGGCTAATTTTTCTAGTGGGGTTCGTCATTTTAAAATCATTGCTCAGTCCGTCCGTTGCATAATAGACTATCGCTAGGTTCAAGCAACGTGTAAACGTCGTCGACTTTAAAATAATCTTTATTGTTTCGTTTGTCATACACTAATCACTGTCTATGCATTATATATAGAAATAACAGAATCGCACACAGACACTAATAATGGCCGTACTTGAAATGCTATCCAGGGTGACGGTGCAGATTGGTATCGTACCAAGATGTCATTTTATCGGTTTCATTTGCATCTCCGGTATGGAGTGATGCGAAAATTAACGGTATAGCATTTGTTCGCCCCACGAACGCCCGAGACATCGGCGTTAATCAGTACTATGCGTATATCTTTAAGGATATTAGGAATTCCTATAGTTACCGGTCTAATTAAAGTTTGACTACAAGATGACGTCTGTGCTGAACGTTTCCTCGGTGCCTTATTTACCTGTTCCATTAACGGCAGACCAATGGAAAGTTAAATTCTTGCGCAATTTGGAAAAATTCTAATGAATAGTCCTAAGAGGCAGAAGGATTCTGTTATACTTTTGGATTTTAAACGAGCAAAAAGTATTTGCAATACGACAGCGTCATAGAAAGAGAATTGTTGCAAAAATTAAGACCCAGCTGGCCCACATTATTGCTTCGATGGACGTGACGCCGATGGGTGAATCTTTGTCGAAAAGGGGTAAATTTTTAAGCTATAAAACTTCACCGCTGGAGCTTAACGTGTAGAATCGTCTTCGCTATTTTCTTCTGGTTCAGATTCTTGTCGTTCGCGGTGTTCGGTAAAAAGCGTTCGATTATCCTGGATGAATGCCATGCGACAATTACTTTAGGAAAATCTATTTTATTTATTAGAACAAAATTTACATACACGAAAATATTTTTCAGTGTACAACTTTATGCAAAAAGATCATCACATATAGTTTGTACCGTATTACTATGCCGCCTTTGTGGACTAAGGGCCTATTCAACAATTCTCATGATGGGTGAAAAATAGTTGATGGCTGAGCCGCTGTTACATACTATTAGCCAATGGGCAGTTTCATGCACCTCCACTCATTAAATCCATTATGTTTCTTATTTTTTGCTTTTTTTTTTGTAGTGTTCTTTTGTGTCTGCCTTAAGTATAGCATGGTTCAGCGCGGCCGAAAATTGTGACAGCCAAGGTGGTTTACATAAGACATATAGTATCATATCAGTGAAGGTTCAATTAGTATGTTTGATTTGTTCGAGTGATAGCGCAAGTTGCACAAAACATTTTTATCAGATATGTTTGAGTAACAATATATATATAAGTTAAATCGCCCCTGTGGAGCGACAGTTTCTTTTCAACCTTGCTTGTCCTTTAAAGGTAAGATCGAGCGCCTGATTTTCTAAGAGTTTGCCGCTGCTCGTTTTAGGACGTGGGTATCTGCCGTTGGCGCATATTTACAATATTCGAAAAGCTTGACGGTACAAATTGGGCACAGCCCGAAACAAGCGGGTTGCCGGCTATTGTCTTCTAAGCGGCAAGAACTAAAAGACGAAGGTCGCTAGTCGCCAGTGATTCTATTATATCCTTGTCATTACATAGATAGATGCCTGGTGGATATATATGCGCCCTCATTTCCGCCCTTTTCGGCCGTTTTGAGATATCTGTTATTATATTGAGTCTAGTTCTAGTTTAGTTGTTTCTAAATCTCGCCGAACGATACAGTCGTATTAGGAATTAGAGCGGCCTTCAAAGGCTTCAGTAGTTCTAATGTTGGCAGCGTTTCTTTTTATTTACTTATTTCTAGTATGAGACTTTTCCTAAAAGTGCCATTTAAATATCAATGATTTAAATTTAGCGCAATTTTACTTAATATTCACTTGTGTCTCGAACATAAATGTAATGCGGTCATTTTTAAGCGACGCCCTAAATACGAAAGGAAGTCACAATGCGGGAGATAAATATAATTTATAGATAGATGGTCGTTGTGTTAGTGAGTCGAGATGCCTCTGGGCATTCGTCGGTAGCAAAAGTTCGCCTACCCAACTAGTCGCCAATTACCTTCGTTGTACTCAAATTATGAAAAAGATTCGTTCGATTCTGGCCGGTGGTCGGTGATGTGCTTATGAACCGTTTCGAGCTTCGCATTGGGGTTCATTCAGCATTTGCAGAAACAGCAGCCCCTGATTATGATAGTTTACTCCGTTGTCTGTTTCGCTCAGCGCTTCAATCAGCATCATCGTTCACATCAGCATCTGTTTCCTTTTTTCTTGAATGCCTCAACTGCCCAAATCTCATTGCGCGCTTTCTCTGTACATGCATTGTCTGCCGGAAGCATGCGTTGCTATAACCTATAATGTAATAGCTAGTGCTGCTTTGGTCAAGAAAGCCCTCGATTTCTTTGGGTGTTCGGTAGCGTGTTTTGCTGCGACCATCCGTATTTTTCTTACCGCGTCGATCCATTTGTCTGCGTGCTAGTTGCTAGCGTAGTATTCGAGACGTGCGTTGTCACTGCTACTACTGCCATTCCAGTGTTTCTCCATTCGTTAGTCTCTTACTTTATTTATGTGAATCCATCTATTTATTTGTCATGAAGCCAGCAACTTTCACTCTTGGGCTATGCGTGTTTGTGTGTTTGTATGTCTATGTATAAGTCTTGTCTATCACTGACAGAGCTTTGTTTGAAACCAGTCACCAGGCATCTTGCATGACAGCCAGGCAGCCGGCGCAGCTCGAGTGGCTTCAGCTAATATGAAGGGCTAAGCTTGCGTTCGTTGTCGCCACTGTC